AGGCTTGATGTTATCCATGAACTGAAATATTCCAAATGCTACAGTGACAGCCATTGCTTCATCCCTTCCTCATCAAGAAGTCTCTTCTAAATCTGTCCTTTGTTTAAATTTTCCCACCAGTGAAATATTTCTCCCTCCCTATCTATCTATCTATCTATCTCCCTGTCTTTCAGTCTTCCTCCCTTCTTTCTTCTTCTTTTCTCCTTTATTTTTCTCCCTTCCTCCCTCATCTCCTATCTCCCTCACTATTTCTTTTCTTCCTCTGTATCAGGTATCCTCCTACGTCCTGTAAAGATGAAAAAGACAACTGATTCTATGTTAAAGATAACTGACATCCAGGTAAAAGACAGCTGGCATAAAGAGGTTAAATAATTCTCCCAGCAGGACTGGGAGCAGAGTTGGTATAATTCAAAGCTCTGATCATATCACTCCTCTACCCAAATGTCTTCCCTGATTTCTTGTTGCCTATGCATTGCATAAAGCTCCTGGATAGATGGCCCTTTAAGGCAAATGATATCAACCTGTCTCATGGAGTATTTTTATATCTTGCCCCTTTCATGAAGGTCCCCATGTTATAAGCATCAAGGAATACCCACTCTTTCTCAACCACAAATGGGCTTTATAACTCTATGATGCATGCCTTTTATACAGCACCCGGCTTGCATGGTCATATCCTTCATTGCCTAAAACTCCCAGTCATCCTTCAGAACCCATACCACCTCCCCTGTGAAACCTCTCCTGACACTCACAGCTTGAATTAGTTATTACTCTGTCTGGATGCACACAGGAAAATGCTCACGTTTCCAGTGTAGCCTTTATTACATTGTACTGGATCATTCATACACCAGACACTGAAGTCCCAAATGGGACCTTGTTCACTAGCAAACCTGGTGCTGGCCACCCAGTTTGAGTTCACTGTAATGAGGGGTCTATATTTCATAAGAAATGTATCATTGGCCTGGCTGGCGTGGCTCAGTAGTTAAGCATCAACCTAGGACCCAGGAGGTCATCGGTTTGGTTCTTAGTGAGGCCATATGCCTGGGTTGTGGGCATCAAGTCAGTGTTGGACATGCAGGAGGCAGTTGATCAGTGATTCTCTAACGTCATTGAGGTTTCTATTTCTCTCTTCCTCTCCCTTCCTCCCTGAAATCAATAAAAAAAAGAAATGCATCATTGATGTGTAACTTATATGTCACAATATCAGTAGTGTTTGCCTTAAATATAAATGTTTTAGAAATATATATGCATACTAATATAAATAAATGTTTCATATGAAAATCTGACTTTATAGAATTTAAAATTGGCTTACAAAAGTTTTGTCTTTTAATTTCTCAAAATCAGAAACTCTAAATCGGTGATTTATTGGTAAACCTAACTCAATTTAGAAAAATGCTAATATGTGTACTTTTCAAAAGTGCTTCTATTAAGTAAAGTAGTACAGTTTCACACACATGTTGGATTTGGCAATCTTGTCTGTGGATAGCTTTAATTTTTTTAAAATTGTGCACAAATTTGGATTGAGAATCTTGTTTCTCTAGTTTATTTATATTTATAAGGAATCAGTGTTCTGATAAAATCAATATAAATTTTGGAGTTTAATGACTATGTTGCAGGAATTTTTACTATTAATTCCAACTTGTCCAACATTATATATCATGTAGTTTATGCATTTCTGCATATGTTGACCCTCACCAGCTTCTGACTTTTTAACTTTATTTCTAAATCCAAGCATATCCCTTTGGATAATGATATTTGAGTGTTAAAATATTTTTAAATGATGCATAAATATACACATGCAAAAAAAATGAGTTGAATGTGTGTGAATATTTATCCACTGTCTATATAGTCCATTCTGATATATATTTCCCACTGTCTATAAAGTCCATTCTGACATATATATGTATGTCACACATATACATAATATATATGGAGAGAGAGAGAGAGAAAAAGGTGGGGGAGAGGGAGAGAAAGACACCATATGCACATACACTCTGTATGGTCCACTACAGGCTACTATTAATTTGTAATTTCCTCATCCTTTGAGGCCAGCTAATGATTTCCCTCTAATGAGGCTGAATAGTGCAGCTGAACATTGTGGACTAAAGAACATTGATGCAGCTACCAAACTGCTAATGAGCGCTGCGTCATGAAATCCTCCAGTGAGCTTCTCCAGTGAGCGCTGCGTCATGAAATCTTCATGAACTCGAGTGTGTTCTACAAATTGTGTTGTTTACTCTGGTCCATCTCTCTTGTCATTTATTTTGTGCTCTGGTGGACAATTTTATGTCATAATGACTGACAAATTGTGCCCACGATAGAGCTGGATGTGTCATAAAGCAGAGAAGGAGTGCTAAGCTGTGAGTTAAAATGGACTGTTTCACCGTGGCCTCAGTTTTTTTCCCAAGGAATTGGAAACCATGGTAGGCCATTAGGAGCTGGTTCACGTGTTTGGGCATGAGGAGGGTCATTTTACACATCCCTTCAACCAGGGAACATTGACCTTGCAGGGTCAGGCATGTCAGGGGTGAAAGGATTTGAAAAGTAATGTGATCGGCAATACTGTCCCTCCAGTGGAATTTCCTACAGCGTTGGTCCAGGTGTCCTGGGTCCCTCTGTTCCATCGGCCCTCCCAACCCTCTCTTCTCCAGTTGAACAGAGTGTGCTAATATGTACTAGTAGATCTGTATTTATTTATTTTAATGGAATTTATTGGGCTGACATTGGCTCACAAAATTACCTTGTTTATCTCATCCTTACTTCAACTGAAATAGTGTTAAATTTAGGCTTCATGTTTCCTCCTGCTTTTTATCAGCTTTTGATTAAGTGAGAAAGATAGTCATAATTTCTTTTCATTTGAAACATTTTTGTCTTACGTAGATGTGGATGAAAAAGAGGCCACATACTAACCCTGCAAGTCCCACACAGTGGCTTTTCAAACCCAGAGTCCCAACAGGACCACACAGGGAAGCCCGCAGGTAGACATTCCTGACTGAAAGTGGGTCACAGTGGTAGACACTTCCTGGGCCTTTAACTTCCCTGTCATGACCTTTACTTTTGACATTGACTTTGTTTTTGAGAATCTAAGATAACATACCTTTGAAATGTCTGAGTCATTTTCTTTTCTAGCCCAAACAAAGGCACAACCAGGAGCAGCAGGGCAAGTGGGACACCACATTGCTATCTTGTCCCCCACATATCCTCTCTGTGAGCTGTAACCTTAACTGTCCTGCACGCAAAGTATCAAAGAAGTGTTTCTTCCTCTTGCTTTTTATTCTATCCCAGAGAGCTCTCGCTTTGCTTTCTCCTGCCCCCTTAATCTACCACCAATGAATTTCATGGACCCCTCCTTATGTCTCCTCCTTTGGTGCTAATGTATAAGATAAGCTGCAAAACTGCCATTCTCTGGAGCAGTTTCTCAGTCCGTTGAGATTTTGCTTCCCGGCAGTTGTCATCAGTCGGGATCAGATGAACTCTTATAAAACCATTTCTTAGGCTGAACATTCTTTCGCCGGCATAAAAAACCGTAGATTTGGCTGCTGAGCATTAGAATCTGCATCTGGCTTTTCGGCCGGATCCACTATCTTCCATTCATTTGCCAAAGGGATAACATAAAGGGAAAGAGGGGAGGCACCCGCTCTGTGTTCTCCAGGCCTTTCAGAGTTATTCCTCTGGCCGCATACATGCACATCTATAGAAAAGTGATATTGTGGACATCGAGGATGGGCACTGCTCAAAAAAGAAGGCCCCACAACTGTTCCTGTGGCAAAACTAGAAGAGTCTACAGTATCACCCAGCATGCAATGGGCATTGTTGTGAACAAAACAAGGGCAAGATTCTTGCCAAAAGAATTAACATATGGATTCAGCAGAGTAAGCACTCTAAGAGCCGAGATACCCTCCTACAACATTCGAAGGAACATGATCAGCAAAAGAAGGAAGCCAAAGAGAAAAGCACCTGGGTTCAACTGAAGTGCCTGCCTGCTCTACCCAGAGAAGCACACGGAAAGGAGCCTGAGCTGCAGGAGTCCATTCCCTGTGAATTCATGTCATGCCAAGTGTAAAAAAAATAAAAGATCTCTGTACTAAAAAAGAAAGAAAAAGAAACCATGTCTGAAAGCAGGATAGATCACCAAAGTTTGAAAAGGTCCCCAGTAATTCTAATGCCCAGCCAGGGTAAGCAAAGCATGACCGCCCAGCAGAAGGCTGATGTCTACTTATTATCTAAGATGTTGATACGTACTCTGTTTCCCCAAAAATAAGACAGTGTCTTATATGAATTTTTTTCTCCCAAAGTTGCGCTAGGTCTTATTTTCAGGGAATGTCTTATCTTTCCATGCGCTAGGTCTTATTTTCGGAGGATGTCTTATTTTCGGGGAAACACGGGTAGTTCACTTGGAACACTTTTCACACTTATTATCTAAGGTGTTGGTATTTGACTTAGAATGCTTTTTAAACTTGTGAAAAGCCTACTCAGATGATTAATTATTTTACACTGTTTCCCTCTCCCCCAATTGAGAATTTGTTTTCAAGTGAATCTAGATAATGGTATCTGACAATTTGGCCCAGAATTCTCGAGTGGGAGGGATAACTTATAAGAACTGTGGGTTTGGGTGCTCATTCAGAGAATAAATATCTATTGAACAGATATGAATAACTTCCTCTACACCAGTTGTATCATTTCCCTGGAATATTGAATGAGGGGTTGCTTTTTATGAAAATTAAAGGTGACTCACTTGCAGGTCAGATATCTCTGTGTTTGACAGGTGGTGGTAGATGAGGATCCAGACAGCTCTGTGTACTTGGGAACAGTAGGAATGCTGGGAGCTATAAAAGGACAGCTTCCTTGCTCTGCAGTGGGGGTGTACACAGGTACTTCAGCAATGATTAACCAGAGCGTCTGGACTGACGTCAGGCGAAGCAAAGTAAAAGCCAGCACCTGGGAAGCTTCTGCACTGGTTTCTACTCCAGAATCACCTAGAGAATGCTTGTTTTTCTCCATAGGTTCGAACCAGTGTCCTGCCTGAACATAAGGATACCCTGCCGGAGACTGGGGTAAGTGTTTCTTTTGTTTCCAGAAGGCAAACACATCACTTCGAAGTTAATGATTTGGGTTTTCCTTGGCTTCCTGCCTAGTGGCTGACAAATGAAATTGAGTTAAATTAATAGGGTGTGAGCACATGAGGAAGCGCTGGCACATATTTGCTGAGTTACATGGAATACATTTCTTATCTTCTGAAAATAATCCTCCATTGAGTCGGTGTTTAGGGCAGCTGGCTAGAGAGGAGTCTAGAGATTGCCCTGCAGGTTGCTGAGATGCAATTCCCAGCTAATACTCATGGACCACTGGGAGGCTGGGCAAATTGTAGATGTGAGTTCTACCTCCTCAGGAAGGAGGCAGAGAACCAACCAGCCACAGGACTGTGATGCTTTCGGTTTCTTGTTGCTTAAACATGTCAAAACATGCCTCCTGAACCTGCCAAGGCAGCCCTTCAAAAATATGACTGGGAAGAATGCCAGCCATCTCTGAATCTGGTAGGGTAGAAAGAGAAGCGTCTTGGTGCTCTCTCTTGCCTAACACAAGGCTTCTTGTTTCTTCCTGAGCCCTGGCTGAACACCTCTGACTCAAGAGAATCTCTGTGCTTTGTTTTCTGCTTCACCTCTTGGTCTGCTCCCACTTTCACTACCAGTCTCTGTGCCCAGACTACAGGGGCTTCGTTTTAATTTCTCCAACGGGGCTAGCAAGTTCTTCCCAGCATCAGGCCTTCATTGCTCAGGCGCTTGTCTCCCTCCCTGATCTGAGCTGAGGTCAGACATCTTTTGTTTATGTTCACCCCAGGCGGCCTCCTTCAAGCTAGGGCTTCCACTGCACACTGTACTCACACCCTTCACTCGTCCTTCATCGAGTGTAAGGCCTTTTGAAATTTGTAACTATTAAACATCTCTGTGCCTCTGGCAGCCTGTGCTGGGGAGCAGGCATAGTCTGATACTCACTCATGTCCTACCCCTTCCTGCTCTTGTTGCTCATGCTATGGTGAGGGGAGAGGCAAGGGGACAGGTTCCTCTGTGCTTGTCCACGGTGAGGGTGAGGGTCCCTTTCTGCTGGCTCTGATGTTTCTCAGGTCAGTGATGGCTATCAGAGTACTCTGCGTGGCAGATGTTTGAAATGCTGGCTCTCTCGGGGGCACAAACGTAGGTGCGATTTATTATTATTATTTTTTATTATTATTATTTTTAGTGTGAATAGGTCATGTATCCACTTTCTATTCCTGTGGGGTGGGAAATGGTGTAACATAACTATTAGGCTTGACAGTAAAAAAAAATTCCTGAGCTCTGAAAAAAGGCCTGTCTTGTAGGTTATGTGAGGGACGATGCTGTGTATCAGCCTCGTGATATCGCTGTCAGCTCTTCAAAGATCTTTGAAAACTTATGCCACAGTTCCTGTATGTAGTTCTATAATAATAGGTCAAAGTATTATCGCTGTACCTATTTAAACTCTAAGCTAGCCCTATTTAAAGAAATATAATGTGTACCACAAATATAATTTTAAATTTTCTAGGAGCCCAGGCTTTAAAAAAATAAAATAAAAAAGAAACAGATGAGATTAATTTTAAATTTTCATTTAACCCAATACTATCTGCAAAATATCATTTCAAAATATCTACATTAATAAAAGAGAAACATGCAAATTGACCATCACTCTGCTACACAAAACAGGCAATCAAGAGTGAGTTCACAAATTAACCCAACGAAGATGGCAGCAGCCATGGAGCTGGAGCGAGCAGGAGGCTTGGATTGCCCCCAGTGATGATGGAAGCCAAGCTTCCCACCTGCTCTGGCTGGCCCTGGCCTCCACTCAAGGAGGTGCTGAAAAAAAAAAGAGGGGCTGGGAGCTTGGATCACCAGGAATGTGTGGCCATCCTGCAAATAGCCATCAGCCCCTCACTCAGGCTGGCCAGGCACCCTAGCAGGGACCCCCACCCTGAAGCAGGTGTGGCTAGCCTGAAAACAGCCTTCAGCCCCTCACCCAGGCTGGCCAAACCCCCATAGTCTGATCCTTGTAAATAGGCAGTAGAACATCCCTTGATGGGTCCCAGATTGGAGAGGGTGCAGGCTGGGCTGAGGGAACCCCCTCCCCCCCGGGCATGGATTTCATTCACCTGGCCTCTAGTAATCAATATAATTAATTATCAATAAGTCATCACACTTCTTTTTTTTTTTTTTATAAATCCATATCTTATAAATTTGATGTGCATTTCACCCTTAGAGGACATCTTAATTTAGAGCTATGGCTCAAGCTAGGGCTCAAGCTGGTGGCTACACATTGGGTAGTGCAGCTTTAAGCAGTATTTGGAAAACCTTGGGAGATTCCTTGCAAATTTCAGTATAAAGAAGACCTGTACTCTGGATCAAGGCTTAGTTAGATGAATGTACCTGATAGAGGTTTGCCCAGCTCATGGCCACGTGTATGAGGTTGTACATCCTCTGGCTCCTTGTGTAGTAGTGCTCGACCAAGGGACCATTGAGGACCTGCTTCAGGGGGGTGTACAACCCTGCTGAGCATCCAGGTTATCTGTGACTTGCTCAGAATCCCTGCGAAGGCTAGTGAGACAAACTGTTTACTTGTACAGTCCCTTTTTTCCTCCTCTTGATAGCACACATTCCAGCCAAGTAAGTGATTGAAATCGTGCATGAAACCATTTAATGGTCATTTGCTTTGGCTTTGTGTGCTTGGAACAGAGCGATCATGGTATGTGTTGCCCTGTCAAAAGCGGACTAGAAAGATCAGAGCTGCGTGCAGTGCAGGTAGAGCGCTGTCAGAAGGAAAGGCATTGCCACCTGTCTTGCAAATGATGCCTAGTGTGATGGGGGTGGAAGAATTCTGGACCAAAAAGCAGGAAGCCTGGACTTGAATTGGCCTGTGACCAGGTGTGAGCAGTTAACTCCTCTGGGCCTCAGTTTATTCTCTTGCAGACAGGCAGTGTCTTAACAAGCCCTGACATTCTTTGATTCCAGATGGACATTTCTTGGGCACTACTGAACATTCCACATGATCTGACAAACATTTGAGCTATGAGGAATCATAGGTAACATGCAACAACAGTAACTGTATAGGACTATAGAAACTTTGTATCTTGTTTGTTGTTGGGGTATTTTTTGCACTTGTAATCTAGTATATCTTTTAATTATGTTTTTTCTGAGCCTATTGTTTATTTTAAAATATGTATGTGTGTGTGTGTGTGTGTGTGTGTGTATTGTGTATGTGTGTGTTTTATTGTAGGAATTTCTCATAGATTATATGAGAAAATATATGTGTATATTCTTAAATACTCTGACTTTTCCCAAAAGAATTTAAGGTAGACCTATAACACTTTTAAGTCATCGGATTTTTGAGTGTATTATTATTATAATTCTTACCTGAGGATATGTTTATTGATTTTTTTTTTTTTAAAGAGAGGCAGAGAGAGAGAGAGAAACACAAAACATTGATATGAGAGGAAAACATCAATTGATTGCCTCCAAATGCACCTCAAGGGGGGATAAGTCTCCAACCTTTGGGTGCACAAGAGCATGCTTCAACCAACAGAGCACCCCATCCAGGGCTCGAGTGTGTTGTCTTAATCACTGTGACAGCTGGCATTATGGAATGCTCCTCTTTCTGAGCAGCATACCAAGTGCTTTTCCTGGATAGCTCCGACTCCAAAACAATGACTATGAGAAACAGAATAAAACTCCTTGAGGAGCCTCAAATCTCACTTATTGTGGGGGTACAGAATAAGCATGTGTGTGTATGTGTGTGTGTGTATATGTGTGAAAGATACACAGTGATCATATGCACCTTTTTCATACAGAAACTAAGGTCTAAGGCCTAGAGTGGTGGAGTAACTTGTCCAAGAGCACAGGTTTGTAAAAGAGAAGACAGAGAAACAAGGGCTGGCGGTGCCATCAGTGGACATCCCGCCCAGGGCCTGGGTGGATGATGGAGTTGCCTGGTTTCTGTTTGAAACAGAATGATTGGTTTAGGACTACACATCAGACCTCTGAGCTCCAGCTCTAGTGAGTCTGATATGCTTTGTTTGTCTTTTTAATTTCCCCCTCATATTGGAGCTTCCAGTTTAAAAACCTTTAAGGTGAGAATTTTAGAAATAGCACTGATGGAGAGATGGAAAATATTGTTCCTTGCTTGAGTTCTACTTGAAATATTAAAAAATTTAAAAAATTATTATTATGATTACAGTAACAGCAAAGATGAAATAATTTTATGGTGTTATTCTTTTATATCAGGTTAAACAAAATTATTTATTTTACATTCCTGTCTGCTATTTCCCCTCATGGGAATTCAGGTTTCAAAAATACTTTTCCCTCTAATTCATTATTTTACTGGAAACCAATGAATAGTCATGGGAATGAATGATGTGGTTTCCATTTTTGGGGGGCTTGGGGGAAGTGCAGAGGAACCTAATTTTATTTATTTTGAAGTAAGACTAGTACATAAAAACCTTCTAGAAAATAAACGTATAGTCAGGCAATGCCATTGTTGATGTTGCAACGTGAAACAATTATACATTGTCATGAAATTTTGGGGTTTCATTCATGCATTTTACGCAACATATAGTCCCAGGATAATTATTTTAAAAATAAATATGGTAGCATTTATATCTAAATGACACGTCCTCTGGTTTGGTACATTTTTATAATGTAATACTAGAATGTCTTTTCCCCAGATTGATTTTTAACATATTGTGTTATTTTTGTAAGATCTCTTATTATCCGTCGAGATTAGGCATGTGGCTGACAGTTGTGATGGGAAAGACTGACTAATGGGCATTCTTGGCACATTGCAGGCACTCCTGGGGCAGCCCCTATGTTCCAGGTGCTGGGCTTGACTCAAAGATGGTCAAGCCAAGGTCCTGCTTCCACAGCAGCTCCTGGCCTGGTGGACAGGAGAGACAGTCAGTGGCTTATGATCACAATCTCTATTTGCAGCTGTGCCTTGTGGCGTGTCTGTTGCCCATGTCTGGAAATAGCCACTCCACCTGTCTCCTTGCTGCATTCCAGTCTGGGGCATTTGCTCTTTTCCTTGCTGAAGAGACTACAGTAACATTCATGACATGTGTAGTTTTTAATTTATTCCAAAACGCTTTGTACCTTCAGAATCTCAAAAGGCAAATGCTGGGGTAATTTGAAGTTTCTGATCAGTTAAAGGTCTTCTTTGAGAAAGAATAATAGTGAGAAGTGGGATGTAAATGAAAGACACTGATTATCAGTGAAAGAGAAAGTAAAACCTCTTTAAAATACAAAATGTTAAATGAAATTCACTACAACAGCATACAATCTACACACTAGCATTGTTTTGATTTCTCACATTTCAGTGAATTATAGTAGTTTATAAAAATCTGCAGAAAGAGCATTTCTCCTCTACTTAATAAAATTACTTGAAGCTCTGCTTATTCCATTCATTCATTCATTCACAGTAAATATTTATCACAATCTTACTGTATGCTAGATTGTGGGGGGCTTTCAAAAAACAGAATAAAGCTCCTGGAGGAGCCTCAAATATCACTTATTTGGGGGGTACAGAATAAGCAGCTGTGTGTGTGTGTGTGTGTGTGTGTGTGTTGTGATAAGTGCTAATAAAAAAAAGCCCGACAGAACAAGGAAGCAGGCATAGCAGCATCTTATGCTCTTGTATGTAAGAATGTTGTGCTTGTTATCTCTGATGAAGTCACATAAGTGCTTCTGTTCAACTGATCTCTCATGGGCTCGCTCTGCCCTACAGTTCTTCAGTCTTTGATCATATGGCTCTTGGACATCCTTCTGTGCCTCGGTTTACTCTCATTTCATCCCTCCGTGACCCAGTATTTTCTCACAAGCCCTCTATTTTTGCCTAACAGTCTCCACCTAACAATTTAGCATCATATGCTTCTGGCTTTGGTGACTCAATGTCTAAATCATTTCTTTGAGTTTCAAGTTAATGAACTGGGCTTATCATCCCCAATATATAAGCATCTCTAACTTAAAAACTGAGTTTATTTCAAATGTTTGCCTTGAAGCCTTTTGGGACAGTTTTTCTAGGTTAGAACTTGGAAAAGAGGGAGAAATGTTTGGACCAGAAGCTTTCCTTTCTTGTTATCAACAATTACTCAGTGTAGATGCAGCCTTTTATGCATGGAGTAATTGCACACTTTCCCCTGAAAAGACCCAGTTGGCTTCCAGTCTTTTATTCTAGGGAAGGCTGATAACAGACTTATGAAGGCAGAATGTTCTGGAAGATGTAGCGCTGATCATGTAGCATATTACAGTGTGTTTGGCAGCAATGGCACAGGCAATAATATGGGTTTGATATTTTCATCTTTACTTCTTGACCTTGAGGGGAGAATGAGAAATCGTATTTATGGTATACCACAATACCGTGACTTTTAAATCAGAAGAAGCCAGGAATGTTAAAAAGAGATGAAAGATTTTTATTTGGGAAAAGAACAACCAATTTTAGAGTTTTATTCTTCACATTATGAGTCAAAGAGTGGAGAAAGTAGATATTCATAGATAGTCAACACCCGGTACGATAGGTTAAAAAAGCAATTTTAGAAAACGTAACTGAACAAGTCCCATTATTTCTTGTGTGTCAGGATGAAATTGTCCCATGCTAGTATAGAAATAACAAAGGAAACAAATGCTTTTAAACATTGCTGTGATGGGGGGAAAATAGAGCATTTCTATTTATAACTTGTCCAGAGTCCCACATAAAAATAGCCCCAACAACCAGATTTGCTCATATCTGGAATTCAACGTTGTTGCTGCCAGTGACGAAGAATTCTAATAAGAACGACAGTGGCGTTGGTAAATATGGAAAGTTTAGCCTCTTTCTTTTGCACCAGCTTTCATATGGGGAGAAAATTAGCTAGTGGAACAGAGCTGGCTTCTGTGTCACACATTTTGTTATTTTCCAGGCTATTTGTCTTTGTTTTTAATGAAAAGGATGCATTTGCACCCCTGGGACTTACCCCATAAGGTGGATATATCCGCGATGATTGTATTTCTGTCCGTGAAATGTTTATCAGGCTAAGAGATCTAACATTTTCTTCTTCTAGAGACTAATTTTGTGTGATTGCTATGACAGCAGATGTATTAGGAACCTCAGAAGTTAATGAAAACTGTTCTTTCTCTTATTTTCAGCGGAGTTTCCTGGGCTATGCCAGTTTTAAAGTGGGGGAGCTACTGAGATCAAAGGAGCAACTGTTAGCACTGAGCCTGAGGTGGGTGTCTCTGTCTGCAATAATACAGTTACAGGGACTGGCCCGAGATATTTACTGAGGGCTGGCTGGGTTTGACAGTCCTGGTTCTCGCAGATGCTTAGATGTCAGCTCTCAAAGGGCTTACATCCTTCTTTGCAACAGGTTGCATTGAAACAGCAATTATTCAAGCTCACATTCAAGTTGATGTTTCAGATTGTCAAAGTTTATTAGCCTTATCATTAAAGGGATTACATTTGTTTGAAAGTAAGAAAGCAATAGAAGTGATGAGCAGTGTTATTAAATAATTTGTGTTACTTGTCAAAATATTACTTTTAAAATCAAGTGTATTTCTAGGATTGAAATATATTGGCTAGAGGCATTGCAGATTCTTTGATACTAGAGGGTAAGATGATTATTTTTTTAGAGCTTATTTTGTTGCTATCCTCTTAAATATAAACATAAGTTAAAATAGACTCATATTGAGACAGACAATAGATAGAGCTGATTTATAGTATAAGGACAATTTCTTATGATATAGAATATGAGATAATCTTCAGGAAGTTCTATAGTGTTTTAATACTAAAAAGAGTGTTAAAAATAAACATTTATGTTTAAGTTTATAATAAATTTGAAACAATATTATTTTACTATATAATTGTATTCTAACTTATGCAATTATGTGTGTATGGAGTGGAGAATACTGCCTTGCAATATTTATATAGCATAAAATTATATAGAACCCTAGTTGTAAACTTAAGATGCCCTTCTTTTGATGAAATATAAAGACAATTGGGGAAAAGATAGTATCTTCAGTTTTCTGTCTGGCCCAGCCCCTAAGGACCACTTATTACCAAGAATTTTAGTAAAAATGCTATGACTTCTGTTGGAATTTGTACTGCTGGCTGTCCCCTTTTCTGGTTTGTCCGGATTCATACAGTTTTGCATTTTGACTTAATAGGTAGCACACAATTTAAAGTAATTTATATTCATGCCAAAAAATAACTATTGAAGCCATTATTTTCTTTCTAGCTTCCCTCAGGCTGTCTCATAAACATCTGCTATTTTGTTGTATTTTATTTGGGAAGACATTTAAAATATTGATAGATTGGGGGGTGTTATACCCAATAAAATTTTGTTGCATTTATTTTCAATCTGAAGGGTGTATGGGCCAGCTGAATAGTCTAGCTTTCAAAGGCACTGGAGCCCTGAGAAACCTGTTACCAGCCTAGCGTGGTGGTTAGATCTGACCAGAGTGCTGCTAGGTTCAAGCACGGAGCTAACTTAGAACTAGCAGCAGGTCACATGTTTTCTAGATAAGAAGCTGAGCACTTTATTCCTCCTTTTGCTGACTCACAATCAACAGTTGTGATTTTTATCTTAACTGTCACTGACAGCGTTGTGCTACCCAGCATTTAGACTCTGCCTGGGAAACCGAAATGGGGACTGGAAATTTTTGGTAAAATGAAAATTAGTGACTACATACAGTGCCTTTGAGGGAGGGTAAGAACAGAATGGTCAAGTTTAGAGTACGACCCTTGGAAGGAAATAGGAATATAATAATTTCAGATTTAGGGCTATCAAGACAAATTCCCACTTTTGATTTAATACCCCTAATTCCTGTTCAGTTGAGTTTGATTATGTTTAAGGAAAACAAATTGAACAACCATGAGTTGTATTTTCTAGAATAAATAATTTTTGAAAATCAATTCTGAAATATTGAGGTTATTATTATTTTTTCCTTTAGTACTTTGCCAAATTTTTCTATTTCCCTCCCTATGAACCAGACACAGTAGACGTATAGCCTGTGATTTCTGGTGCTTCATGTCTTTTACTTCTGATGTAATTCATCTTTGCTCCACTGACTAGAGAGTCTCTGAGGTACAGAGCTGGGGAACATTGGGTCAGGGACAAAAAGCTTGTTTTTGGTTGCTTGTTTTGTTTTAAATATTTCCTTGCACTGATTATATCTGACTTTTATTCCACTTATAGTCCAGGCAGTTTAACGCAATAGAATTCTCAGATTGTTATGTTTTAAAATATAGAGATGTATGGGAGAGGCTATTTAAAAAATAAACATTAGATTTCTATTTATTTTTAAGATTTCCCTATTTTATATAACATTTATAGGTGTACATAGTCATGCATAAACATTTGTATCACAGATTGTGTGGTTGCATATGTACTTGTTTATACATCTTACTTTAGGACTATTTTGCTTTCTCATAAACCATAATTACTTATTTTCTACCATCAAATATTTGTGCTTAGAGAAGTTAAGATTCAAATTATGATGTCTTTAAATTTTTATTATTTGATGTTTTATTAATTTAACCTTCATAAGCACACATACACACTTTATTTTTGTTGTTTATAAAAATAAAAGAACAACAGGTAAACCCTACCTCTTTGAAATGTAATCCCCAAAGGCTTGTTCTTCACTCCAGAGCTGGAGATAATGATGAGGAAAGGCTCCTTAAACTATGACACATGGTTTTCTCCACGGGGCACTCAGCGTGAGAGAGACACGGAATTGCCACCATCATCTCACATGTTGGGAGCCCATGTGTGTTCTAGACACCCGAGGGCAGTGAATCAGAATAAGTCTGTCCTGAGAGTCCTATGAGTGCCTGTGAACCCCACAGTAACCTGAGACCCACCTTGGCCAAGGTCTGACAATACAGTTTTAAATGATAAATTCTCTTTCTGTTCAAATGGAATTAAACTTGCTTACAGTTTTGATCTCCTACTACTATGTTTTTCCTACACAGCGATAAAGATTATAGACATTGTCTTATTTTAAACACCAGGTGTATTCTTTAGAGTTCTATGTATGATGGAATGCTTCTGTAACAGCACCTTTTCTTATCAACAGCTATTTGAACCTCAGAGCTGAATTTTAAAAATCACATCCATGTGTCTTAATTGTTATATCTGTTTTGAATACATTCCACTCTCTTTTGAAAGTCTTCCAGTTAGCTTGTTTTGGAACTACAAAGCAGGAGTGCAGCCGAAAATTCTGATGCTTTGCCAACACTAATTTTTCTGTATATCTAAAACATTTTCTGTATTAAATTAGAGACTCAATGCATGAAATTCATGTACAGTAGGGTTCCTAGGCCTGGCTGGTGATCAGGGCCAATCTGTGGGGTGACCAGTGGGGTGATTGGGGCCCCTGCTCGCACCTGCCTTGGCCTGGCGCTGCCTCCTCACCTGCTCCACCATCCCACCACAGTCCTGCTCTCCTTGGGGCCCATCAGAGCTGGCAGTGCCTCCACTACAGTCCACTGCCAGAGCCACTGACTTAGTTGACACCCGTCATGTTCTGTGCTTCCCCCTGGTGGTCAGTGAACATCTAACTCCCACCCTTGGGGACAATTTGCCTATTAGCCTTTTATTTTTATCCGATAAGGGTAGTAGACATTGACTGGTGGCCAACAAACCCTCTTTGAAAGAGAATATTCATGATTAATTATAAAACAGAATAATGCTATATTTTATTAAATGCATCAAGGGAAAAGTTAGAGGATGTGAATGGCATATAAAAAGCTAAGTTAATTGATGCTTTTATGTAGAATTTACTAAGAAATGCATATCAGAAAGTCTGGAACTATGCATGAGAACATGGCACTATTTTCTTGGGCATGAGCAAGCAGAAACACAGACAAGTCAGTAGCAAGTATATACTCATGATTGATCGAGACATGTCTAAGGGAAGACCTCGCATCCTGGCTTGCTTCCTTCCCTGTGCTTTTGGTGCAATTGCAGCTCTCCCAAAACGGATCCTCTGATACTGACACTGACTTTGACCTCATAGACTTGTAGGAAGAGCTAACTAACACTATTTGAGCTTTCTGAGGGTTAGCATTTCCAACATCTTGTCATTTTTGATCTTCTAATAACCTTACCTGGAAATGCTCTTATTCCTGTTTCACTCCTAAGTAAGCTGAGGAACGGCAGTGGACTTGTTACGGTCACACAGCTGGGATGGGATGGAAACATGGAGGCTGGAAGAGAAGGATTCTCATAGCAAGGATTTCCTAGAGAAGAGACATTTTGCTTAGAACCTTAGAATGGAATGATGGTAGAGCCCAGAAGAGGCCTTGGCACTGCAGGTTCTTCTTGGACACATTTAGTGGCAGGGACTCAAACTCGGGAAGCCATGCATTTTTCCCCCTCCATTTTCAAACAGGTCAGTGTTAGAAAAGTATTCTTATTTTATCCCAAGTTTTATTGCCCTGCCGCGATCCCAGCTCTCTTGCATGGTGTTAAGTAAAACAAGTCTCCAGCTTCTTCTCTGTGATCACATTTGAAAGCAGCTATTTTGTCCAACAATAAATCTTTCCTCCTTTTTATTCCCAGGAAAGAATGTACTTAACAGAAAGCACCACAGGTTTCATACCAGATTTTGGTTCAAGTCCCAGCTTTGTCAACAACTGTGTCTCCCCAGACTTATCTACTCTTTAATGTCTGTTAATAGACGTAGCAATGACCTCCCTCCCGGGGTGATTCTGGGCAATTAATAAATGTGATCATATGTGTGCACTTCCTTGCACTAGCGAAAAATGCTCTAGAGAGGTTGTTTTCCTTGTATCTTGCTTAGTTTGACATCTACAAATTTCCAAATTGGTCAGTGGCCGAGGAGTTGGTTTAAACTTCGGTCTGGACATACCATTTCTATTACCCGAGGAATGGATGCTTATCTGAAAACTGAATTCCGGCTTTAATCATTGTGACGTGAGACTTGACTTCTTAAGTGCAGATGCCAGCAAGAGGCCTACAGAGAGCAGTTTGTCCTGCTGAAACCGGCAATATTGCAATAGACTTGGGGGAAAAAATCAAATTTGTTTGAATTAATACTTTAGCAATATAGCACTGCACTCAGGACAGAAATTCATAAATGCATCATAGAGTGTCAGCTGCTTTTAGAGTTTACTGATGCATTTTATTGCTGAATACATCAAAAGCAACTGACAGAAGTCAATTCAAGTAACACCTCTCAAGACTGAACTGGGAGGATGAAG